GGAGGTTATTTTGCCGAAATGCATGGTCCGGGATAAGCCCGTCGCGTCCACGCGTAAAAGTCAACCTTTTGCCGGTGAAATACAGAGCAATGACATTATGTGTGCAAAGGTGGCACCGACGACTTTGTACGCCCAACACCGAGCTACAGATCGTGTTTTAGATATCCGAGAGAGAGTGATTGGGTTCACGAGGTATACGACTGGGACGGCTCCACTGTTGGAGCCTGGTTTGGGTGAGTTTTGAGGCGAGAAAAAGCTTGTTGGCTCGGCACAAGTGGCTCGACGAGAGAGCTGCGTGTAGCAAAGTTTGCGGCTTTGCGCGAGGTTATTGTTTTAAATCGCATAAATCTGGTTGAGCCCGTCTCGTCTACGCCACCACAAAATTCTTCGATTTAGCGCAATACAGAGCAATGAGACTATGTGTGCAAAGGTGGTGATGGTGGCACCGACGACTTTGTACGCCCAACACCGAGCTACAGATCGTGTTTTAGATATCCGAGAGAAAGTAATCGGGCCCACGAGGTATACGACTGGGACGGCTCCACTGTTGGAGCCTGGTTTGGGTGAGTTTGAGGCGAGAAAAAGCTTGTTGACTTGGCACAAGTGGCTCGACGAGAGAGCTGCGTGTAGCAAAGTTTGCGGCTTTGCGCGAGGTTATTGTTTTAAATCGCGTAAATCTGGTTGAGCCCGTCTCGTCTAGGTGTACCTCGAATTCTACGGCCGTACGAAGACAGAGCAATGAGACTATGTGTGGAGAGGTTGTGATGGTGGCGCCGACGATTTTGTACGCCCCAACATCGGGCGACAGATCGTTTTTTGGATATCCGAGAGAGCGAGATCGGATTCACAAGGTATTCGACTGGGGCTGCGCCACTCTTGGAGCCTTGTTGGAGGCGTGGAACGGCTTGTTGGTTTATCAAGAGGAACCGCTGTTGCCAAACGAAATCGATGTTATTTTACAAAACTCTCCAAATCCGGAGGAGGTTATTTTGCCGAAATGCATGCAGCGGGATAAGCCCGTCGCGTCTAAGTGTGATTTGAATTCTAGTAATTCGCGGAATACGAGCAATGACACTATGTGTGCAAAGGTGGTGATGGTGGCACCGACGACTTTGTACGCATTCTACTTGTTTGCCGTTCCGAGGTATTTTGACGATTTTAGAGTCATTTTCGCTACACCAATCCTTGAAACGTGATGCGTAATTCTAAACGACGATGCCTCGCATGCACCGCTGCAAAGTAGATGAAAGTAGATGATGGAGGTGGCACCAAGGACTTTGTATCAGGAACAAGTTGCGCTACAGATCGAGTCCAAGACGTCTGATGTTGGGATCTGCACGAAGAGCTGTGTAGGACTAGGTAGCTATACAGCTGGCGCCTGGAATCGAGGCGATGCGAGGCATTTAGACCACCACGAACCATCGTGCCGTGTCGGCACCTAAATTGAATGTGCTCAAAATCGTCCCAAACCGGGCGAAGTTATCGCCTGGATCGGTTAACATTATAGCAGGTTCAATCACCCGCGTTCACGAGGATGCAGACAACTTGCCGTGCGCGCAATGCACAGCGATTGCTCCATGTGTCGTTAATATAGTGACACCCCTTTACGAGACGAATGCGACTACTACAGAGCGCACAGGCTAAGGTCGTGGCGTGCAAGGTGTGGTTATCAAGCGACGAAGCATCGTTCTCACGTCATCGAGCGTGCTCATAGTGGTGTCCGTGGTCTCAAGTGCAAGTGTGTTTTCACCATACACTGTGTGGGATTCAAAACGACGAGGCCTTTCTACACTGTCCTGTGGGTCCGACACCCGTCATCATACTGCCAAAGTCTTTGGTGAAGGCGGTCGATGTGGCGTAGTAACAGCGTAGAATACCGCGCTACGGATGCACATGTCGTCCTCACTGGTCTTTTTTCCGACGGGCAACGCGGGACGCGACCTACCGGCAGCATCGTACTCGACAACTCAACTGGATGCGGCTGGTTTCCTGGCGCCGGTAGAAAAGCGGTGTAGGCGAAACCGTCCAAAATCGCAGGACCTCAAAGGGCGTCAGGTAGGGGGCCTATCTCTTTTACTTTTTTTGTCCAATTTTTTAACACGATATATGTATGCAATAAAATAAAAAGACGCCTCAAAAATCAAAGTAGTCGCGTCGATGAGATGCGGTGGCGGCAAGCATGCCCCCGCGCGCTTCGAAGGCCGGGCGAAGCGCGCGCGAACCTTCGACTAACTAAGGGGTGGCTTCCATTTTCCAGAGCGCTTGAAGCAGAGGCTAACGATGGCGGGCCGCTTTGTCACGAGTCGCCCCGGCCCCGGCGGAGCGATCGCGTACGAGCTCGACCCGGCGAGTGTCACGGCGATCTTCCCGTCGCATGACGTCTCGACGGCGCTCAAGGCCATGGTCGAAGTCTCGCTCCGCGACGTTGGCAGCCTCCGCCCCAATGACACCCACGACGTCGACACGGCCAAGCTCCAGGAGTTCTTCCCGGACGGCCTCCAGGCCACGGACGAGCTCGTCGTGCTGCCATACAACGAGTCGGGCGCGCAAATGGTGTTGCCCACGGACCTCCCAACTCTTCCTCTTGGCCACCGCGCTGCGTTCATCGGGCAAGGGAAATTGGAGCTCGCTCCGGGTATCGACACGAAGCAGTTCATCGCGATTGGCGGCATGCAACTCGACCTCCTCCTTGCGGGGAAGCATCGCCTCATGAAGTGGAAGTGCGACGTAAAAAAAATGCTCGAGCTCTCCGCTACGATCCCGGTCGACCCGCCGACGACACCTCAGCGCATCAGAGGCAATCCGCACCTCATGGCGTCACCGTCACCCCGGCACATTGGCGCGCGCCCCATGACGTCTCCATCGCCCCGGCGCATTGGCGGGCGCTTCACGGCGTCTCCATCGTCCCAAATCATTGGCGGGCGCCTCATGACGTCTCCATCGCCGCGAAGCTCGACGCCGTTGCCGTCGCGATCACCCCAACTGATCGAGTTCATTCCGCAGCCGTCGCCGGCGTCGTCGCCCGTTAAGAAGAAGAAGAAGGCCGGCGCGCGTCTCCAGGCGGTGGTGGAGCTCGACCCGATCGAGGCGATGAAGACGGCGTTCAACGACGCCAAGACGCCCAAGGCGCTCAAGACGCCGAAATCGTCGACAGAGACGCGCGACTTTTTTTTCAAAGTGCTCTTGTCCAAGGCGCCCGAGTTCTCGTCCAAGATGTCGACCACGGAAACGTACAAGGAGCATTTCATCGCGCTTCTCGTCGCCGAAGCCCAAGCTGCGATCATCTCGGGGTACGTTACCCCTCGATATCGCACCCCAATCTCATAGTTTCCATGCAAATGCAGGCAAAATACGCTGCCTGCCACGTGCACTGCGCTCGCCGCCTCGTTCGACGGCGTCTCGGACCCCAACGTAGCGACGTTCCAGACGCGTGGGGAAAACTCGATCAAAATGGGTGACGTCGTCCGCCTCAAGGTGCGCGAATTTGCTGCCTCGTCTCTCTCAATACGCATAAAATGATTAGGTCGACAATTCACGACGAGCTATCGGCATCGTCGAGCGCGTGCACGGAAACATGGTCGACGTCGTTTTTCTCCAGGCAACAAAGACGGCGCTCGACCTTTCGAAGGCCACCGACATCGAAGCCAAGGTGGTCGCGTCGCTGGTGACGACGCTGCGGATGGTCCACGGCGTCGGCTCCGTTGACAAGTTGCCCGGGCACTTGCGCGACGTTGTCCTCAACCAGTCAAGTGCCGTTGCGTCCGTCTCGGTGCTCAAGGCTGCCGCGACCACGCTCCGCGCCGTCATCCAGAACTCGAATTGCGTCCCCAAGACGTCGACCAAGAAGGGCAAGGGCAAGAAGGCGACCAAGAAGCAAGTACGTACATGGATTCCTTTACAGTCGGTCGCCTCACTTTTATGCGATAGATGGCCAAGGAGGACGAAAACGTCGTGCTGACGCTCTTGACAGAGCTCGCGAAAATGAAGATCTCGGTCGAAACCCTCGAGGTACAATCGCATCGGAGGTATCAATGTTTCAATGTTTGTGTTCCTAGGCGACCCAGATCCACGACGTCGTGGCCGAGCTCGTCGACAAGGCCAAGGCGCCCACGGAAGCCATTGCGATGGCGGCGGCCACGCTCGACAACGCGTACCAGTCGCTCATCACGGTACACCTCTCGTCTCCACAATCTGCTTGAAACTCATTCTTTTCTGTTCTAGCCGTCGCTCTACGACGTGGACCGCACGGTGGCCGATCTCATCGCGTCCGAGATCAACCCGTCGCAGTTCCAGGCGCTGCGTCGCGGCCTCGGCAACCTCGAGACCGGTCTCTCGCTCTGGAAGGGGCCGCCGGGTACCGGCAAGACGACCACCATTTGCGCCCTCCTCTCGGCCCTCCTCTCCAAGGCATCGCCATCCAAGGGTCACTTGCCGAGTGTCCTTGTGACCTCGGATTCGAACGCGGCGATCGACGAGATTATCACGCGCGTCTTCTCGGTCGGGATTTTCCTCGTCGGTCACGATACGAAGGTCCAAGCGCAGCTGCCGCGCCCGGAAGGACTCCCGACGCCTTCGCTCACGGCCGTCAAGATGGGCAGTCGACCTGGCGCGCGGGACATTGGCCTCGCGACGGCGGCCGCGCGGTACAAGGCCGAGATCGACGACACGCTCCGCAAGCTTCCCGCCGACGACAAGCGCGTCACGAGCCTCCGCGCCGAGATGGAGCTGAACAAGTGGGAGCTCTTGGCGCGCGTGGCGACCAAGGCCAACGTCGTCTTTGCGACGCATTCGTCGTGCGCTGGCGCCGACATGACGCACAAGCTCCGGCATTCGGGGTCCGCCTCTCTCTCTCACCCGATATCAACTCATCCCTTTGTGTATGTAGCTTTGACGCGGTCATTGTCGACGAATGCGGCCAAGCGACCGAGCCGAGCTCGCTTCTCGCGCTCCTTGCGCAGGCCGGCCGGTTCTTTTTGTGGGCGACACCAAGCAGCTCGCGCCGACCGTCCTCAGCGACGACGCCAAGACGCACGGCTTGGACGTCTCGCTCATGGAGCGCTTGGAAGCGTATCTGCCTGTGACGATGCTCACCGTACGCACCGATGGACGATCTGTCGTCTCACACAACTGTTATAGGAGCAACACCGCATGCATCCGTTCATGAGTGCGTTCACGGCCAAGGCGTTCTACGACGCTGCCTTGACGGACGCACCGGCGATCACACGACGCGTGCTGGCGCAGGACGCGGGCATGTACGCGCACCCGGCGTTCCAGCCGCTCACGGTCGTCGACATTGCTGGCGTCGAAAAGCGCGTTGGCACCTCCAAGTCCAACGACGCCGAAGTCAAGTTCTGCATCGACCAGGTCCGTCCACCGCGGCGCACGTCATATCATGCTGACATATCATCTTTCTCGGTAGATTGAGCAACTCATGCTGACATTTCCGCGGGCTCGAAGCGGCGAGTGGAGCATCGGGATCATCACGCCGTACACGCCGCAAGTGCACAAGATTGTGGACGCCATTGATGCCAAGGTGGCGGCCAAGATGAAAACCAAGATGGAGACCACGGCGTGGACCAGCATCGAAGTGTCCTCGGTCGACGGCTTCCAGGTAGTACCTCTCGCAAAAGTTACGTCGTGTACGGATGCAGTTTAGGGTCGTGAGAAGGACATTATCATCGTCTCGTGCGTCACGAGTGG